ATATGGTATCTCCAAGTGTCCCAGAGTTTCTATTTTTGAGAGGACTGCCAGTTGTCTCCTGAGTGAGCTAACCAAGCCAGCACATGATAAAGCAATGTGGTATAATTTCACACTCAACTCCACCAATGACCTTGGAACACACATTCAAAAATTTTTCATCAACCAGTACGCTCAAGGTTTGTGTCTATTTTTTAGTAAGGGAAATGGATAGATTATATTCCAGTAAAATAATGATAAAATTTTTATTTAAAAGAATGGTATTTGATATCAGTTATGTAGCTGTTTTAAAGAAAAATATAATAATTACAGACTGGCTCAAGATCAATATCTTTTGAGGTCAGAATAAGAGTGTGACTATTTTTGCTTGATTATATTTTCTGGAATATTGTATTCCATACTCCTATGAATCAAACTTGTCTGGGTTATGATTCAAAAGTGCTCAGTGAGATAACTGCACACGCTCAGCTTGTTTCACCTGTTTTGTAAGTATTGAAAAAGGGTAAGTAGAATTAGTTGTAAGGCTTTTCTGGAAGACTACGATGTTTTTCAGCATTCAGCCAGCAATGGAAAGCTTTAGAATGGTATTATTTGTTTAGTTTTGTAGTCCTTAATCTTCCTATGGTCATAAAACAACATTTGTTAAGTAAGTAAGAGTAACTGCTTTTGGCTTCTTGGGGTGTCTTGTTTTAAAAGTAGATTTTAGCGAGTATACTGAATGAAAGTTCATGTATTACCATCATATCATATAACATGAATAGTTTTGGAGGGATACCATTACATGGTAATGCAAAAAATTTCTGACAAGCCTAAGTTCTAAAACACACAAGGTTTCCATAGTTGTTTTCTGATACAGTATGACTAACTGAATATATTGCATGCATGTGTAATTACCTCTCTCTATAGTTACAGAAGTAGAGCTATGCTCATGGTGTTCTGTCTTCTGGTTATCTTTCCCCTATGTATTTTTACCATCAAAACAGTAAGGGAAACTGATCTTTTTGGGTCACCCTGCCTTGGTAGAAAACTTCCAGTTTGTTTTTATTTTTTTTTATTATCAATATGTAGCTACAGCAGCAGAACTAAACTTAAGGTGTCCTGTCTTAAAAAAAAAATCAAGTGGTTGTAGCACTTATTACCTCCTCTCATACCGTAATTCAAGACTTTGAATTTTCTGGCATTCTTTTGGCATCTCTTCTGTTTAAATTTATAGATATGGACTTATTTTTTCCTGTTGATGGTAATAAGAAATCTTCCATATAAACTCTTGTTTCCTTTTACAGTTTTATAAGTGGTTATCATGTCTCCTGGTTTCTGCTAATCTTGGTTAGTGAGGACGTACCTGTGGCATATCAAATTCTTTCAGTCTGTCTTCATAATTCTTTCTTATAAACTGGAAGCCATTGTGTAGCTTGCTCTTACACTTATTTCTTGGTTGTTCACATTTATTTACATATGAACATCATGTCAGAACTCTTTAATGATGTAGTTGAAGTTCTAACAATAAAGATCGAGAACCAAAACCTAGTCATCGTAGTTGTATATAAGCCACCAGATGCAACCTCACAACAGTTTTAGGAACAGCTACTGAAAATTGATTACTGTCTGGAAAGCCTTCCAGCTCCATCTCCAAACATCTTAATGTTTGGTGATTTCAACCTAAAGCATACAAAATGGAAGAATGTAGCAAATAATGTTATAGCAGAAACAATCCCTGGAGGCAGTGCAGATGAAAGTTCACACACACACATGAGCTACTAAATCTCTGTGATAAACACAACCTAAGTCAACAGATAGTGGAGCCAACAAGACTGGAAAACACACTTGACCTAATCTTCACAAATAATGAGGACCTTGTAAGAGACATAACAATATCAAAAACAACTAATTCCAATCACAATCTAATCAAAGTTCAAACTTACGTGCACAGGAGTCCTGGTCACCAAATGTACGTAGCTGTGAAGGTGTCTTCACCAAATACAACTTCAACAACAAGAACATCAACTGGGACCAGGTGAACCATGTCTTAAATGAAACATGTTGGGAAGATATCTTAAATAACATGGATCCAAACCAGTGCCTTGAGAGGCTCAACTTACTGGCAGCTGAAGTATGTTCAAGGCATATTTCCCTAAGAAAGAAGAAAAGAAGAAGTAAACTGGAGAGAGAGAAAGATGTTCCCTCTACAGAAGATGATGAAGAATCGCTGAGCTCCTTAAGAATGCTAGATTATCTGATACACGGAAGGAAGCGCTGACCAGGGAAGTGGATAATAACCCATGTGCAACATTTGTGTAACACCCTTTCAATTTTCATACCACTGGTAGTGTCATCTGTGTAAAAAGAAACATTTCTGAAACGTGTAATATGTGTTTGGCAGGCTGGCCTGCTGGCTGACCAGCAGCTGGCTGGCCGGCCGGCTGACTGGCCAGCTGGCTGGCTGATTGGCTGTCTCTATCTCTGTCTGTCAGTATTTATCTCTGTCTCTGTCTATCTTTTTCTGTCTCTGTCTCTCTCTGTCTTTATCTCACAGGTACACATATGTGAATACAATTATACATAGTGTAAATTACCTAGGATAACCCAAAAAATCCAGACAAAGTGCTGTACTATGCTTGTAGATATATAATGCATAATAAACATGACTGGCAACTGGCAAGTAATACGCATTTTCACTTGTTCAGGAATCAGACGTGATAGTGTGTAATACCAGTTGGTTCAGGAGAAACTCTCTGAGACAAGAGAGAGAAGAAGATAGAAAGACAGACACACACACAGGCAGACAGAAAGACAGGGACACATTGGCAGACAAAAAGACAGACACAGGCAGACAGAAAGACAGTACGACTCTGCGTTTAGCAAGCCATTAATCAGTCTAAAGATCAACAATCCAAATGATTTTTTCGTGAATGAGCCTCGAAACTCCATCAATGTATGCCAGATTTCCGACATTACCTTAACTCCAATGGACTTTAAAAAAACCCATTGACAACATGCCCATACACTCAGCCTCAGGCCCAGACTCATGGAACTCTGTGTTCATTAAGAAATGCAAGAAACCCCTTTTGCATGCCCTAAGGAGAAGGAGCTTAGACATGGGTGAAATTCTAGTCACTAAAAGCAACGGATATAGCCCTACCCCATAAAGGTGGCAGCAAAGCATTAGCTAAGAACTATAGACCAATAGCTCTAATGTTCCACATCATAAAAATTTTCGAAAGTGCTAAGAAGCATGATTGCAAACCACTTGGATTCCCAAAAACTACACAATCAGGGCAACATGGGTTTAGAGCAGGTCGTTCGTGCCTCTCACAGCTACAGTGGACCCCCACATAACGATTACCTCCGAATGCGACCAATTATGTAAGTGTATTTAAGTAAGTGCGTTTGTACGTGTATGTTTGGGGGTCTGAAATGGACTAATCTACTTCACAATATTTCTTATGGGAACAAATTCGGTCAGTACTGGCACCTGAACATACTTCTGGAGTGAAAAAATATCGTTAACCGGGGGTCCACTGTACTGGATTTTTATGATATGATCTTGGATGCACTGGAAGAAAACAGAATGCAGATGTAATATACACAGACATTACAAAAACCTGTGACAAGTGTGATCATGGCATAATAGGACACAAAATACGTGCTAAAGGAATAACTAGCAAAGTGGGGAGATGGATCTTCAATTTTCTAACCAATTGAACACAGAGTAGTGGTCAACAGAGTTTAATTGGAAGCTGCCATAGTGAAAAGTTCTGTTCCACAAGGCACAGTACAGTACAGTACTCGCCCCCATCCTGTTCCTCATCCTCATATCAGACAGATAGAGATGTAATCCACAGCACCATGTTATCCTTTTGCAGACAATACTAGGATCTGCATGAGGCTGTCATCTGTTGAGGACACAGTTAACCTCCAAGAAGATATAAACCAAGTTTTCCAATGGGCAGCGGAAAACAGTATGATGTTCAATGAAGACAAGTTCCAACTACTACGTTATGGAAAACTGGAGGAGATAATAACCAGAAAAATATTAGGAGGCACCTGGGAGTGGTATTGTCTGAGGATCTCACTTTCAAGGATCGCAACAGTGCCATGATCACAGCTGTAAAGAAAATGATAGGATGGATAATGAGAATGTTCAAAACAAGAGATACATTAGCATCTCCATTCAAAGCCGGTGAAACTGCAGTTCTAGACAGGCTACAGAGAACCTTTCCTGCACAATATAAGTTCTATCAAACACCTCAATTACTGGGAACACTTGGAAGCACTTGACTTGTGCTTGCTGGAATGCAGGCGAGAGAGAGATATCATAATCTACACTTGGAAAATCCTAGAAGGAATGATCCTGAATCTGCACGCAGAAATCACTCCCTATGAAAGTAAAAGACTGGGCAGGTGGTGCAGAATACCCCCTATGAAAGTAGGGGCATCATTAGTACACTAAGAGAAAACACCATAAGTGTCTAGGGCCCAAGACTGTTCAACAGCCTCTCACCAGGCTTAAGGGGAATTACCAATAGGCCCCTGGCTGCCTTTAATTAAGAGGGAGCTGGACAGATACTTTAAGTTGGTGACGGATCAACTGGGCTGTGGTTCGTATGTTGGACTGCATGCGGCCAGCAGTACCAGCCTGGTTGATCAGGCCCTGATCCACCGGGAGGTCTGGTCGTGGACTGGGCCACGGGGGCATTGATCCCCGGAGTACCCTCCAGGTAGACTCCAGGTATGTATATTCTACACTGCTTGTTTTAGTGTTTCTTTCTTTATGTATATGTAGGTTACTTTAGATTTGGCAACTGCCACATTGACACTTATCACAATTTCATTAACGTGATATTCTGGCAGCAATCTTTCATCTTTCATCTTAATATTTTAATATTTTACTGCACACCCTTATTCAGTGTGTGACTTTTTTCTTTCATTTCTAAACATGCTAAACGCAACCCAGTTATATTTCCTTATTGTTATTTAACAGTGGCACTCCAAACATTCCTTCTCTGCACTACAATAGGATCTCGCTTTAGCATTATGGTCTCCCTAAACAATTATTTTCTCTGTTCAGTACTTACTGTATAAACATTCATTTAACACTTAGCAGACTCTCACTCTCTCATCCATACTCCCCTCATTTCTAGATGAGAAAGATTGAAGACACTTTGTAGCTTACTTCTCA